TTTTGTATATCTCTTATTTATATGAATGTATATATATATCCTGATTGTATGAAGCTAGAGGTGCATTAACGTCGTCATCTCGTGCATTACGACACGAAGAGATGTCCTCTTGTCAACAATCATTTGTACCGCAATGGAGGGCTCTTTAAAACCTTACTTTAAAAATGATGATGACGACGACGACTATGATGATGGTGATGGTGATATGATAATGATGATGATAATAAAAATGATGATAATGATTGTCACGATGATGACGATGGTGATGACGACGACGATGACTATGACAATGATGATGATAATGATGATGATGATGATGATGAAAGTATTTTAGTATAGTGCGCTGAGATTTTATTATAGACAATTAAACATACATACGCATGCCGTAATGTTTTAGGACCTACTGCTTTTACTGCAACTGTCGCTTAGATAGCTTCTTCAACGTCGGCATTATTTTTGAAAAATCTCTTACCATACATACACATACATTAATCCATTTTCGTTAAAATAATAATAATATGAAATACTTCACTAGAATCTTAAAATCGATATAGATTGAAAAATCATGTATTATTTCAATGGAAATGCCGTCTGTGAGCTAGTATTTTTACTTGATACTTTTACTTTAAAAAAACCTTCCTTCTCTTATTTCTAATAAAAATCCTTATTTAAAACTAACAAAGCAGTAACATTATAAAGTTGAATTTATCTGCTCTTTAACTAGAGCTACAATTGCTACTAACTTAGTATTACGAATACAAGGGCATTATCACTTCAATAAATAATACTATAATCAAATAAATTATATCATAATTAAATAAATTATACCATAATTAAATAAATAATATCATAATTTTTTACTGACTTCATTCAATGCTAATTACATATGAATTCGGTGGCAACAATATCGTCGAGTAACACTACTACTGCTACTACTGCTGCTACCACCACCACCACTACTACTACTATTGCTACTACTACCATTACTATTACTGCTACTACTACTACTACAACTAATACAACTACTAATACTACTACAACAACAACTACTACTACTACTGATACCTCTGCTACTACTACTACTGCAATTACTACTACTATTTCCACTACTACTACTACTACTACTATTACTACTACTACTACTACTACTACTACTACTACTACTACTACTACTACTACTACTACTATTACTACTATCACTTCTGGCGTATAAATTCGGCGAAAGGAAATCTTTTCTTTATCCGAAAAACGCTGGAACAACTGGAAGAACGAACCATTAACTGAATGTATGACATGGCGATGATGATGATGGTGATGGTGATGATGATGATGGTAATGATTATGATGATGGTAATGGTGATGATGATGATGGTGGTAATGATGATAACGATGGTGCAGTGATTGTGATGGTAATGATGATGGAGATGTGATGGTGATAATGTGATGGCAAGAATGGTGGTGATGAAGTTTTTACGATTTTAAAAAAACGGTGAATGGTGAAGCAATCTTGGTGACAAGTGCATGTTACAATTCCATTTGGCGTAATGATGTGTAACAATAATAATGGAGCCAGGATAATGGAGTCAGTGGTAAAGTTGGATACGATATTGATGATTTGATGGAGCGATGTTTACATTTCGTCATCTTAAAAGTATCTTTTTAAAGTAAAAAAATCTATTTATAGTAAAAGAATTTAATTTTAGTAAGACCAGAAGCCTAAAAAGGCTCGTAGGCCACTCAGCTAGCAAGAAAAAAAATAATAAATTGTTTTCTTGATAGATTATCAAACTGTTTTCTGACCACTACTACCTCTTAAACTGGCACGTTTTAGTCATCGTTATCGTCAGGACCATATCATCATCGTCCTCATCATTGTCTCATTATCATCATCTCAATTAGCAATAACTTCAAAAGTTATCATGGAAAAAAATGAATTAAATTATTAAAAGGCAAAAGTTACATTAAAAATAGGATTGCACTGAAAGTAATATTTAAAATACGTACACACAGGCACAGAGCCACACATACACAGACAAACACATACATATACACTCATATAC